GGCCAGCGGGCGGGGTCCCCTGGGCTGTGGGGAGCCCGCCGCGTTGGCAACCCGAAGGGGCACGCTGGTGTCTTGTGACTTAACCAGAGGGGACACTACCTCTGCGCTGCCAGTGCAGGGGACGCCAGCGGTGGCACTGCGGAAGGTCCAAGGTCGGGCGCAGAGAATACGTAGAAGCGCAAAGGGAGCAAAATCAGATCCTGGCTGCAGCGTTCAGGGTGCTTGACATGTAGGTCACCACTGTGACCTGGATTAATAGTGACCACGCATCTGAAGACAGCTGCTTGGGTGACGCACTAGCCCCGAATCGCCGTGTGACCCTTGCTTACTCTCCCTAGAGCTGACCTGTGAGGTGAGCGAACCCCGCTCTCGCAGGCAGCTCATCTTCCAGGGTCACGGAGGAGCTGGGAAAAGCCTGCCCACCTTTCCTCTCGCCTGGGGAGGAAACTTTGCTCTCCAGTGCTGCCTGGCTCTTTCCCAAAACGCCAAGTCCGCTTCGCTAAAGGCAGGGTTTGCATGAAGAACGGAGTTCATGTCAGCAAAAGACTTCTTGATGTCCTAAAACCTTGGTCAGAAACAGCAGGACCTCATACCAATAAAACAACGATACAAAAGATTACAGCCTTAACACTTGCACACAACTCCTCAATCCAATTTTTATATATATTTTCCACACATGCACAAACATGTATACGTTTTTTTTCATGGGAAGAAAGATACATTCCTAAAAAGAAATTAGTATTTTAATGTTTAATAGGCAGAGGAGAACATTTTAGCTTATTAGATTTTTTTTGAGCTTTATCTTGTTTTTGTCTTCCTAGTCATCTGGGATCTGCTATCCCTGCTTACTGTTCTACTTTCACAGTACTTTGTTTTATTTTATTGCTCCCTGTTTTATTATTTTATTGGGAGAGTTACTCTGTTATTGTTCCATTGGATATATTGGGTTTTACCACAGTGACTGGACGTTGGCCTATGAAATGTGAAATGGAGCAAAATGGAGACATCTAATAATAACAAATGTAACCATTTTGATTTTTCCTGCACTTGCCAGAAGTTGAAAATTTGACAATAGGCGTTGAGGTTTGCTTCTGACTGTTTTAACTTTGTTTGCCTGCAAGTTGCAGATGTCACAGGGAAGTAAAAATATCCCACAAATTTGTTTAAATTATGGACCATGTATATGATAGCTTTTGTTTTGTTTCATGTTCTTCCTGAAGCTACTCATCAATGGGAAGCAAGAATCTCAAGATTAGCACTTGGCAATACGAGCTGAGCCAAGAAAGGTATTTTAGTTTACTAGGCAGTTATTTTAGTTTGTAAGGTTATGATTTCTGTTCCTGTTGAGGTACTTCATTTTTGTTCTTCTGGTGTGCTGACCCTGCTTAATATAAGCAGCTTGAGAAACCTTTGTGAGGAGTCACATTACACGCTCTGAATAGGGGACAAGCCTACTAGGAATAATTCCTCTTGTTTACATTCTTTTTCGTTACAGCAACTTGTTTTTCCCTCGTTTTCCTGGTAGTTATATGCAGTAAGGGCTGAACAAAAACCTTACATGTTCAGTTTAGCTCTTAACAAACAGTGCCACTGTTGTTGGCAGGAAGCATAGGAAGCGTGTTGCCTTCCCCAATTATTAAAAGGGCAAGGCTCCAGAAACTCGAAACCTGGATGGCTTTTCAAAACAAACCAAACTGCTGCAAGAATTCTACGCACCAGCAGCGCAAAAATTAACAGAGTTTTGTTGCTCCGGTGAGCTTCTGGAAGAGGTGTATCTCCTTCATAATGCAGGTTGGCTTCTTGCTCTGTAGATGATGGGTTATACATTACATACAGTAGGTTTGGAACAAGATAACTTTCCATCCCTGTAAACATAAATGATATATCTGGGATATAATTGTTAAGGATGTCCTGAATATTGGCCAAGACAGCTAAGTTTTAGGCACAAAAGTAACACGTGTCAGGATTCCTTGTCAGCCAAGCTGCATGTAGAGAAGACTAGGCTGTGGAAATTGTAACCACTTCAAGTAACTCCGCAATCTATCCTGGCTGCAGTACTGTTTGTTCTCACTTTATTTTCCTCTCCAAGCCCCTGTTTCCCCCTCTCCTCCTGAAGCCTCGGTGCACGTGACAGTTTTAGGTGCAGGTGTCGGAGAACAGCATTTTGGTGAAGGACAGCGCCAGATTCTGAACCTCAGCATTCATCAGATGGGGTCTCATTTCTGCTGCTTTAATATTTTAACTTCCCTCTTCTGAACTGCCCTGGGGCAAGTTTTGAAAAGGTAGGAAGGATGTGCTCAGTTGCTCAGTCGCAGTAGCGTTTTGCCAACTATCCTTAACAGAACAGAGCTGTGTTAACATTCTGGGGTTTTGCACAACAGCTGGGTCCAGAAGAGTGGAATGAATGAAGCCTGTATTCCTGTCCATTTGTCCCCTAAACACTACCCATCGCAATTGCCTCTCTCCCTCCTCGATGCTCCTGATGTCCTCCCTGCTGCCAGAGACACAACGTGCTGTACTTAGGTCAGAGCTGTGTTCTTGGCTAGCTAGAATACGTGACAACTGGCCACGTTGCTGACGTCTAACAGAAGGTGTCTTGGCTGATTTTGCCCTACCTTTTTCTCCATGGGGACACAAATTTGAGGCTCTTCTTCCTAACCTACCTGCCACCTAATGCTGGAGACACAGTATGCTGTGCTGGGGTGGGTGCCCTCTCCTGACCAGCCAGAACATGTGTGACGACAGCCGGTGGGGTTGCTGCTCTCTAGTAGAAGGAGTCTTGGCTGTTTCCCCTGCCTTTTCCTCAACGTGGACCAAAATTTGAATCTCTCCTCCCTAAGCCATCTGCCAGTTTACACCAAGTTTCTAGGAAGCTGATTATCTGTGCAAATGTGGTTGAAATGGTTAGGAGGGGTGGTTTGGCAAACAGGTGAACCAGCAACATGACTCAAGTTTTTTTCCCATAGGAAACCAGACTAACATTTTCTACTGGGGGAAAAAGGCAGCTTCTAATTCAGCTTCTGTAAGGAAGGGTAAACAGTGACCCAGGAGTCAGGGTGGAAATTAACAGTAGCACTAGAAAGTTTTGAATGTAAGGAGAAGGAATGGTCTGATGACTGAAGGGCATTTGCTGCACTTCGTGAAATTTCCAGCAGTGCCAGGGGCAAAGCGCTCGCCCTCTGCCTGCAGATGGGTCTGCACTGATGCTGTTGGATGCTATTGGGTTGACATTTTAATCCACCAACGCATTTGTTTTCTAAATATTTATGTGGCCCTTTGCATGGAAAAAAAAGACAGAAATAGCGTTACAAACAAGGGTCATATCTTCCCGTTCTCATCTTTCTATCACCCGACGCTGCAGCCGCCAGGAGCTGTCGAGCTGCCCAGTGCTCCCAGTGCAGCCAAAATAGTCGAAGTAGGTGAAAGGTTGTGGAGCAGCACACAAACAGGCCAGCGTGCCCAGCCCGGCCGCCAGTTCAGTGAAGGAAAGGTCCTGCAGCTGCTCCGGCGCTTGCGCAATCTCCCCCACCCGCTCATAGTTTGCAAAAGTCAAGAG